AGCATCTTAGCTGCAGAGGGCAGTGTCACTGGCCCTCATATGTGGGATCCGAACCGGGGCCCTCTGGCATCCCAAGCGAGTTCTTAACCATTGCGCCACTCGGCCGGCCCCTGATTTTTTTTTTTAAGTGAGTCTTCTACCTGCAAAAATACATATAGAAAACAAATCAGATTTGGATGCTTTCAGCACCAGCAATAGAAAACCGCACTGATCCCTCTGGCTGCTCCAAGTGTGGCCCAATAAACGGCAGCAAATTTGTTACAAATGCAGAATCTTGGGTCCAAATCCCAGATCCAGTGAACGAGACTCTGCATTTTAACAAGATCTCCAGGTGATTCTACACCCGTTCAACATTGAGAAACCTGTGGTGTGTGGGTCCACATCATCAGCGTCACCTGGGAACTTGTTGGAGATGCAAAACTCAGATGCCACCTGAGAATCACCAGGGATTCGGCATCCTTGCAGGTGGTGCCAGGAATCTGTGGTGTAACAAACCCTACAGGTTTCTCTAATGTTTAACAATTCGTGGTCAGTGCCACAGTCAGTTCCTGGCCTTGTTTGGGCAGAGAGAACACAGCGTCTCCATCTCTTGTAGGACCTCTCTTGCTCCTTCTGGAATAGCACAGTGTTCCCTTCATGTTGATGTGAACCTCAAATTCATTACTTAGGAAACAGGTGAGCTGTTTCATCTCTAACCCACGACATGCATTAACTTCATTTAGCTGAGGGGGAAATTCATCCATTCTCCAGCAGGAAGCAGAGGTGGCAGGGCATCTCTAAGGTGGGTCTGGGCTGCTATGAGGGAGAGGTCAAACAACTAGAGTGGTATTCACAGTTCTATCAGAAAGTGAGCCCTTAGAGGCTAAGGAATTGAGAAATAGGAAAGCCTGATATGTGCATATGTCTGCTTGCAACAGGCAAGGTTAGGGTCAAGGTAAGAACAGGATAAGAAAGCCCATTTCAAAGTAATTTCTGAGTGGCAGAAATACCATGAAAAGGAGGAAGAAAAGCAACTTCACTTCACAGATCAAATCCTAAAAGCCTGAAATCTGGAACTGAAATGTTCCTACTTTACTGTTATTGTCAGCCCATCCTCTCCTTTACCTACTGAGTTAACGTGTTAACATTTAATATCCCTTTCTAGGGTTTTGGTTCAGTTTATTTTTTTCACCCCCAGCTTTATTGAGGTATAATTGACAAATGAAAATTATATATATTTAAGGTGCGCAATGTGATGTTTTGATATATGTGGGCATTGTGACATAATCACCATAGTCAAGCTAATTAACACATCCATCCTCTGACACAGTTACCTTTTTTTTTCTTTTTTCTTTACTTTTTGGTGGGAACACTTAAGATCTACTTTCTTAGCAGATTTCAGGTCTACAGTGCAGTATTATTAACTACAGTCACCATGCTGTACTTCAGGTCTCTGGAATTTGTTCCCCTTGCATAACGAAAGTTTGTACCCTTTGACTGACATCTGCCCATTTCTCTCTGTGCCCAGCCCTTGGCAATCAGTATTCCACCCCCAGCCTCTATATCTTGGACTTTAGATTCCACATATAAGTAAACTCATGCCATATTTGTCTTTCTGTGTCTGCTTTATTTCACTGAGCATAACATCCTCCAGAATCATCCATGTTGTCACAAATGGTTGTCTTCTTTATTTTCTTTTAAGTTTTTTTTAAATTAGGGGATGCGGACAGCTTTGGGGAAACAGGGAAGGAGAGCAGGCAAGTTGCTGTCCTTTTGTTCTTCAGTCTAGTTGTGGAGGACGTCGCTTCGCTTGCACAATTTGGTATTATCATTGCGCTTTTCCCGGGTGAGGCAGATCCATTGCCGGCCACTGGACGGCTGCTCACGGCGGCTTTTGGCAGCTCACGCTGGCTGCCAGCCACTCACAGTAGGTAGCTCATGGCAGCCCAGCTCCAGGTTGAGCTGTTGTTCACCATCTTAGCTGTAGAGGGCGCAGCATCACTGGCCCTAATGTGGGATCTGAACCAGGGCCCTGATGCTCAGAGCTCACGTCCCAAGCCAACTCTTAACCAACTAGGCCAGCCCAAGATTATTTTCTTCTTCTTAAAGCCTGAATAATATCCCTTTGTATGTATGTGCATGTATGTGTGTGTGCGTGTGTGCACGTGTGCACGCACGTGTGTGTATGTGTGTGTGTGTGTGACATTTTCTTTATCCCTTCATGTGTTGACAGACACTTAAGTTGTTTCCATATCTTGGCTATTGTGAATAACGCTGCAATGAACATGGACGTGCAGATATTTTTTAACTTTGGGCCAAGCATGCAATGTTGGCGTGGCAGTTGCTGGCTTGGCTCATTAGCACCCCAAAGTCAGTAATGCCCTACTTGTGTGGTCTCTGGGTCCCACAAGCAACTAAGTGACTAGAGAGTTCTTCAGGGGGACTGATGTGAATGCCGATGGCTTACAGAAGGTTGTACTCATAATACTGCCTTTAATCACAACTACATAAACAAATAGCAGCCCTCTTGAAACCCCCAAGACTCCTTGAGAAATAGGAAATAAGATTACACTTCCCTGTCTGTTATCAGTTAGAAGCTGGAGCAGCTATGGCTAAGAGTACAAACTGTCCCCTATGTGGTAAGTGTTAAACATCTTATTTTCTTTGGTTCTAGAACAGTTATATAATGTTATTGAATTGGAGCTGGTGGAGGGATGGCATGAGGGGCATCTCCCAAGAGTGGCATGTCTGAATTTCTAAGGGTGTGTTGAAATAGGCACATTCAATATTTTAATTGTTTTTATTTGCTTTTAGATACAATGTTGAATTTTTTTGGAGCTAGAACATTTAAAGCAGTGGTTTCTAACTGGGGTTGATTCTCAGCCCCCCGGGGACACTCAGCCATATCTGGAGACATTTTTAGTTGTCATGATTCAGGAGAATGCTACTGAAATTTGGTGAGTAGTGCCCAAGGGTGGTGCTCTATGCCCTACAATGCAAAGGCCAGCCCCTTGCAATAAGGAATTATTCAAAGAAAGCTGTGGGAATTAAAAAAAAAATTAGGGGTGACCAGTTAGCTCAGTTGGTTAGAGCATGGTACTGATGACACCAAGGTTGCCAGTTTCATCCCCGCATGGGCCACTATGAGCTGCACCCTCCCTAAAAGAGTCAACTATGCCATTGTAGCATGAAAGCAATGTGTAACCAATGACCATGGCTGTTCCCCATTAAAAATTTTTTTAAAAATTTAAATGAGGCTTGAGCTAAGAAAAAATTAGAAAAAAAGCCTTCATTGGTGAATTCATTTACAGAAAACTTAAAATCGACATGAAATTCTTGACCATGGGTATAATTTTTTTTAAAGTTTCAGTATTAAGTATCTCTCTTCTTTGGTCTTATTAACATGTATACATGAAAATTGGCAGTTGACAGGGGGCTTTGGATTTAGGAACAGGTTGAAGACAGTCCATGAGGTTCTTAGGGAGTGCTGAGTCATTTAAATAGAGTTGGAAAAGAGTTTACTTCTCCATTTGGATCTATTCCAAATGAGCAGCGAGGGAATCTTACCATGGCCATCCTCTCCCTCCATATGGCATAAAGCAGGACTCATTCTGGCCCTCAGGACTGTTGGCTTAGTACCATAGTGTTACTAAAAGAGGTGAGATTTCAGAAATCCAGGGTGTGTAGGAGCACTTAATGGAGAAGGCTGGAGTGGTGATGCATAGTGAGAGGTTGGGCTGTGACGCTTACCTGTTGTGTAATCTTGGGCAAGTCCCTGAACCACTCTGGCCCTCAGTTTCTTCTTTTGTAAAATGGGGCTAAGAAGAGACTCTGCTTCTTGAGAATGTTGGGAGGAGTCCCTGAGATAATACCTGGAAGGTGCTTGTCAGGGGTTGGCAAAACTCATTCCCTGTCCACTTGCTCCACTGTAGCTGTCTGTATCAAAACCATTATCTTTTTAAATTTAATTTAAAATTTTTTATTGTGATATAATTGACATATAACATTGTGTAAGTTTAAAGTGCACAACATGATGCCTTCAACCTTTATATATTACAATATGGTGACCACCATAGTGTCAGCTAACACCTTCATCACCTCACATAATTACCATTTCTTTGTTGTGCTGAAAACAATTAAGATCTAGTCTCTGAGGAACTTTAAAGTTTATAATACAGTATTGATGTCTATATCACATCCCTGGGCATTAGAGCTCCAGGATCTACTTATCTGTGAGTTCCACGTTTGTGACCTTCAACAACATCTCCCCAATTCCTCCGCCCCCAGTCCCTGGTACCCACCATTCTACTCTCTGTTTCTGTATGTTCAGAACCGTTACTGAATTTGATGGGTATGAGGTAGAAAGCTGAAACAGTATGAAATTAGAAAGTTCTAAAATTTCAAAGTTGGAAGAGGATGTGTTGCTTCTTTCAACTTTAATTGAGCTTTCTTCTTGCTGATGCATCCAAATGTTTCCTATTTCACCTTCTCTCCTTTTTTTTTTAACAGATTTTATTGGGGAATTGGGGGAGGGAAATAGACAAGTTGCTGTCCTTTGGTTCTTCAGACTAGTTGTGGAGGGCATCGCTTCACTAGCCCATGTTGGTATTATCGTTGTGCTTTTCCCCGGTGAGGCAGTCGCTCGCCGGCCATTGGACAGTCACTCACAGCAGCTCATGAAAGCTCACACCAGCTGCCGGACAGCCCCACTGCAGCCTACGTCACCGCCAGCAGCAGCCCAGCTCCAGGTCGAGCTGTTGTTCACTATCTTAGCTATAGAGGGCACAGCATCACTGGCCCTTATGTGGGATCTGAACTGGGGCCCTGCTGCTCAGAGCTGGCATCTCAAGTCAACTCTTAACCAGTGGGCCATTCTGCCAGGCCCTTCTCTCCTTTCTTATTTTCTCTTCTCCGCTTCTTTGCTGCCACCACTCCCCCCACCCCAACACACACACACACACACACACACACACACACACTCCTCGCCCCACCACCACCCAGTACAATCTAAACCAGAATTACAGGGCATTGTGAAAAGGGAGGACAGTGTTACTGAGGGGTCATATTGCCCGAGTTCCTTTTTTGGTTTGTTTCAACCTCTAGCTCTGCAGGAACCACACCCATCACTGAACAGCTGGGTCCTGCTAACTTTCATGAGAGTGGAGCTGACTCCTGTCTGCTGGGATGACAGAGAAAGCTGTGCCCTCTAGCTGACCTTGGAGTTGAGCTGATGGGGTTGGGGAATAGAAACTCCGTTTGGTTCCTAATGGTTTTATCAAAACAACCAGAAGTGATGCGTTCAAGAAAGAAAAGGTGGGGTTTCAACTGCCAGGACAATCAAACGCTTTGCTTAAAAAGCAGAACTTTGTCTTCAAAACAAGTGTGGTCATCCTGATTAAAATTTATGAGCGTCATCAAAAATGGCAGTATTCCTGTATATTGATGGGGCTGGTGGTGGTGGTTGTGATGATATTTTTTTCTTGAATGCTGGTGTTTTTTTCAGTACTCTCACGGCCTATATTCGACACTATTATGTTATCTTTTTTTGAAAAGACATGCTTTTTAAGTCAGTATATAAGTAATCCATGTTTACTGTAGGAAAAATTAGAAAATGCAGATGAACAAAGTGAAAACCATCTAGAAATGACCACTCTTCCCATTCTTGTGCATATTTCCCCACAGTTTTTCACTTAGGTATCATATGAGTAATGAAAATTTATTTTTATTTTATTCAAATTGCTCATCAGCCACGCCACCTTAAACCTAATATAATTTTTCGGCAACTTCTGGATAAGAGATCATTTTATCAAATTTGTTAAGGTTTATTAGTTTTATAACATTGATTAAAATAACAAAGTGCATTTGCTTGTTGTTAGGAGAGAAAGAGAACTGAGTCTAAATAAATTAACAAATTATTGTGCCTGATACAAACCTGTTTACGGCAATGATACATTTAGCTAGATGTTACATGCAGCCCTTCATTGTAGTCAAGTAACTAAGGTCTACATTGTAAATCAAGATATATTCCTAGGAGAAACATAAAGTGGGTGGCCCAGTGACCTTCCGAAGCCCACTGAAGGATTTAGGGACAATTCCTGAAATGCTAACTCCTTTCTTTTACTTCTCACAGGGCTTTCCTGCTTGGTCTTTCTCATAGGAATACACAACTCGTGGAGCCGAGGTATATTGGTGCTTAAAACCAAAAGCAAAATATTTATTAATCACTGCCCAGTATATTTAAATGGGAATGTCAGCTGCAACAGGGTACATTCCAGGATGTGATCTTGCCCCCATGGTCTCAACAGACAATTGCAACATCTGATATCGTTTCCAAGAGCTGGACAATTCTTAGTTAATTAGGTTGAGCCACATGAAATTGCCATTTTTGTAGGTCAAAAGTGATCAAATACTGGCAATTTTGTGCAGTTCAAGCTAAGGTGATCCCACAACTCTTGTTATTGTGTTCATATTGAAGACTCTCCCCAGAGCTATGCAAAGGCAGGATGAGAAGGTCATTTTTCCAGTTTTGCCTAATGCTTTCAAAGGGTCCATAATGCCTCATCAAAGCAACCGTGCTTTCTTCCTGGTTGTGCACTGAGGGCACATATGATGTTGTATGTTTCTTCATGCATCAGATCAGAGGTATCTGATGACAGAGATGGCAAGGTGCTTATCTAAACTTCAGTAACAGAATTCCACAGATTTGACTGTAATTCTTATTAACTGACACCAAGAAACTTTAAAAGTGCTACAGCCCTGGAAGAGTGAATCTTTAAAAAAACAAACAAACAACAACAACAAAAAACCCTGACAATGGAGTACTAAAATCATTTGCTCACTTAGTAAATGTGTCCTTTGCTGACCTCTTAAAAGACAGGACTTGAAGTGGAATTAGACTGACTGAAATAAGAGAACTGACAAAGCCACCTTATTCTTCTCCTTCTCTCTCCATAGATGCATGTACAAGCAACTTCTGCCCAGTTTTTGCTTTCTGTGAAAAAACTACCACTGTTCTTGCCCACTGGATATATCTCAAGCACAGGAAAAGAGACATTCACATACCTCAAAGTCACATGCAAAGGTGATTGTGGGCTTGCTGAAAAAGCGGCTTTACTGCAAAAGAGTACACACATCTTTGAAGACAGAATCTGGCCATAAGCTTCTTGGAGGGGAAAATTTTCAATCTCCTGAATTCACAGCTCATGTTCCTTTCTCTGTGTCATTTTTAATGTAATAGTTAAGAATTTGGGCTTCAGGTGAAATTGACTTGGGCTCAATCTCAATTCTATTCTATGACTTTGAAAAATCACTTTATTTTTATTATTTATTTTTTTAGCTGAGCCATCCCGCCACCTGTCGGCAGCTCAGTGGCTGCTCAGCTTGGGCCAGGACTCAAACCACTGTTGCTCAGAGCTCAAACTCTTGAGCGAGCTCTTAACCAACTGAGCCACTCAGCCAGCCCTGGAAAAATCACTTTAAACCCCAATATCTCAACTACATAATCCATAAAATAAGAGTACTTGTCATATCTTCTGCAGATCAGGGAACTCATGTCAGAGAAATATGTGTTTGTTTAAAGGAGTCAGTTCGAATCCACAGGAGTGAAATAAGCCAGTTTAAAAAAAATAATTCCTACTGTGCATCAGATGTCATGCTAGGCACTTACACATTTAAATGACACACCAACCCTATGACATGGATTCTTTTAAGTCTAAGGTCAGCAAACTTTTTCTGTAAAGGGCCACATAGTAAATATTTTAGGCTTTGTGGGCCATATGGTGTCTCTTGCAGCTATACAACTCTGCTGTTGTAGCATGAAAGCAGCCATGGACATAAATGAATGGAAGTGGCTGTGTGTCAATAAAACTTTATTTACAAAACAGATGGTGGGCCAACCCCTGGCCATAGTTTGCCATGCTGGCCTAAACTATGAGAATGGTTGCTCTCCGCCCAAATCCTCTCATACTTAGAGTAGGAAATAATCATTCCTTAAAAGGAAAATGATTCGTTTTGATGATTTTTAGTATATCTCAACATATGTGCAGTGTCTTCTAAGAGAAATATGACATAAGCCACCCATGTCAGTTACATATGTAATTTTAAATTTCTAGCAGTCACATTAAAAAAGTAAAAATAGGAAATTAATTTTAATAATATGCTCAACAAATCCAAAGTATTATCATTTCAAGCTGTAATCAATGGAAAAAATGTTAATGAGACTATTTACATTCCTTTTTTCATACTGTCTTTGATTTCCAAGTATATATTTTATGTTTACAGTACATCTCTATCCAGACTAACCATATTTCAGGAGCTCTGTGCCCTTGGATTGTTATAAGGTATATTTATGAGAGGAAGAGCTTTTCTAAATGCAAAAGCAGTGGTTAGGTATATTACATATGTCAACATACTACAATATATTAGCAAAAAGGAAAGAAAGAAAGAAAGAAAGAAAGAAAGAAAGAAAGAAAGAAAGAAAGAAAGAAAGGAAGGAAGGAAGGAAGAAAGAAAGAAAGAGAAAGAGAGAAAGAAAAAGAAAGAAAGAAAGAAAAGGGGGTGAAAATTAAAAAATATCTAGGACTGAACCTCTCTGTAGCTGCATCATATTACTTTCTATGATTCATTCTCATTGTGAATCCAAAATATAAAGTCGTAATTTTTATACATCTTAATCAAATTAACTGTTTTAACCTTTTTCTGTGTCTCTGACAAAAGATTTGAATACTTACTGCCATGGTAATAGTCTGTTCCTAAATATATTCTCTCTCCCACAACACGAATCCTAATAATAATTAAAACTTTACGGTGTAAAAATCTTTAAAATATGAGCCTCAGCACTGGAAAGATGGCGGAAGAAGAGCAAATAAAAAAGACCCCTTTGGTTCCAGAAAAATCTCCTAGAAAACAGGAAAGCTTATCAGGTTCTCAAAGCCACCCAGGCAAAGCAGGCACTGTGGGAAAGACGGAGCAGAGGAAAGGACAAGAGCTCAGGTTTCAGCGACTGGAACGGTTCCTGCACGAGGGCTGGCGGCAACATGACAAACCACGTCTCAGATGCCTAGAAGCGGAACGTCGTGGTTTGGAAGTGCCAGATGAATATTTCTTGACCTTTGTTGTACGCATCCAAAGGATTGATAGGGTGAGTTTAAGGGTGCAGAGGACCATTGCAAGGCTTCGCCTGAAGAAGACTTTCAGTGGTGTTTTTGTCAAAGTGACCCCCCAAACCATACAAACTCTGCGTCTGGTGGAACCTTATGTGACCTGGGGATTCCAAATCTGAAACCCATCCGGGAACTCATCCTGAGACGTGGACAAGCCAAAGTCAGGAATAAAATCATCCCTTTGACAGACAACATAGTGACTGAGGAGCATCTGGGGAAGTTGTGTGTCGTTTGCTTGGAAGACCTCACTCTTGAAATTGCCTTCCCAGGGAAGAATTTCCAGGTGACCTCAGGGTTCTGGTCCCCTTCTGTCTCTCAATGGCCGGTCACGCTACCACGAACAGAGTGGGCTCCCTCGAGGAAGTGGGCTCACCTGGCTATAAAGGTGAATCCATCACTCAGCTCATCCGGCAGCTGAACTAAACCCAGAATATCTGAACGCACAATGCATTGGAAGCATGTGTTTTGGGGGGGGGGGATGTTATATATGATATATATTATATAAAAATGTGTAAATTATATATACAAATTATATATACTCCTATATATGTGTGCATATAACTTTATATATTATGCTTATATAATATGTATTATATACTATAATATATAAATTACATATATGTACTCCCCTACATATACATAGGTAAGGATATCCTAACCTCCTCTATTTTAAAAAAATAAATCATACTATCCATATGATTATATATATGATATAATATTCCTACTTTTAGAATATATTTTATGTTGCATATTTTTCTACAGCATAATTTTGAATGGTTGGCTAGTATTTCATTACGGTGTATTTAACCAAAAACTACATTTGGTCATATCTGCTTTGCTATGATAAATAATGTTGCCAAGGACATATTTTTGGTCTCTTGATGTTAATGACAGTAAGGTTTATTTTTTATACAAATGCCTGCATACTGACTGCTATTTCCATCCCACCCACCCAGATATATTACCTTGAGTCCTTTGTGGTTTGTGGTAATTCCAGGCTTGGACAGCAGAGGGCGGAGGGAAACCTCTATTCCCTGCAGCCGGTGTCTGGCATTTGTTGACACTTGCCTCTGATATTCATCAAGGGGTACATAAAGGAGGCATTGAATACAGTCTTTCTCTTTTCATGGAGCATGCACAGATAGAGTAAAGTCCAGGGGAGTAAAACCAGAGTGCAAATTTCTTATAATCCAGGACGCTAAGAGACACCATCTGTCTCATTTGCTACTGTAGCTTGGCTCGCCATACGTGCCCAAAAACTGTTTGTGCATTAATGAGTTTCTTTAATCCTATGGTAACTCCTGTGTCAGTCACTATTATTACCATCCCCCACTCATCAATGAGGAAATTGAAGCTAAGAAAGATTAAGCCACCAGCCCAAAGCCGCCCATAGCATGTCCCACACAGCAGGGTGGTGGCTCCAATCCGGATCCCAAACACCAGACTGGCCCACCATCATTTTGCATGCAGGCCTCCCTTGCTGACTTGGAAGTGGTTCTTCTGCTCTTCCTTCCCTTCCTGGCCTGAGTCAGTGCTGGGTAAAGAGCAAGGGGACCACTTCATATGTATTAGACGGCTGTTATAAAAAAACAGAAAATAACAGTGTTGGCAAGGATGTGGATTGCTGGGTGGGAATGTAAATGGTACAGCCGCTGTGGAAGACAGCATGTCTGTTCCCCAATAATTTAAACGGAGAATGCTTCTGAGATACAGCAATTTCATTCCTGGGTCACTACCCAAAAGAATTGAAAGCAGGGTCTTAAAGAGGTATTTGTGTTGTGGAGAACCCAGACAAAGAGACAGGACACCAAGGCATGGGAAGCAACTTTTACTAATTCCACTGGCTCAGCGGATTCACATTCAGAGGCTGAGCCCCCACTCAGGTGGGATTTGGGGTTATATACCCTGAGGTTTCCGGGTTCCTTATTAGGACATGTGGCCATTGTGCCAGTTCCTGACTGGCTCTCAGGTGAGGTAGGAATTTGGAAATGTTAAACACGTAAGTCTTGCTGACCATACAGTTCAGGAATGTCTTTGTCTGAAGCCCACGCAAAATCCTTGGTGACCACATGGTCTGGGAAGGTCTTTGTCTAGGGCCCATTGACACATTTGCACACCCATGTTGATAGTAGCATTATTCACAGTAGCCAAGAGGTAGAAACAACCCCAGTGTCCATTGACAGATGATGGATAAATAAAATGTTCTCCATCCAGACAATGAAATATTATTTAGTCTTTGAGAAGAAGGAAATTCTGACACCTGCTACAACATGGATGAGCCCTGAAGATGTTATGCTCAGTGAAATAAGCCAGACACAGAAGGACAAGTACTATGTGATTCTACTCATAGGAAGTTCCTAGAGGAGTCAGGTTCATAGAGACAGGAAGTAGGTGGTGGTGCCAGAGGCTGGGGGAGGGGAGGATAGTTAGTGTTTAATAGGGACGGAGTTTCAGTTTAGGAAGATAAGGAAGTTCTGGAGATGGATGGTGGGATTCTAGCACAACAGTGTGAATGTATTTAATGCCACTAAACTGCACATTTAAACATGGTTAATTGCGGGAGACCAGCTCCCACAGGTCCAGGGGTTCCCTCAGGTGGAGACGGCAATGGCGAGGAAAAAGAAGAAAGACGCGCGGAGACACAGGGGCGCTTTCAAGAAGAAGTGTCTCTTTATTTTTACAGCATGTCCCTTTTTATACCGGACAGTTGACCATTATCCCATTAGTAAAAAGTTTTGTTTGTTTTACATAGTTTCGATCAGGGTTTTACTTCCTCGTAATTCTTATGTTCCAGGGTACAGCTTGACCTTTTCTTATGCTAAAGACCAACCCATCCCAACTGCACCCAAATCCCTCCACCTACAATGACTATGCGACCAAGGCCCAGCCTCTACATAATCACCCAAAGAATGGTTACCATGACCACTCAACACTTATTCTAAATACTATTATCTAAGCAGGATCTTAAGATTTACAGGGTGTGTACTTTGACCTTTACTAAAAGACTAACAGTGTGACTAAAATTGCCTTTAGTGTATAAAATAGAATTATTGTGATATATCTATCAGAAGGGGTATAAGATCTTTGTCCTACTGGGGGGCATCCAAAGGGGAATTTAAATCTTCTAAGATATAAAGCAGTATCTATTTCTCAGTCAGAGCTTCAGAATTTGTC